TTACCCTTCCTTCTCCCCCTCCTCTTTCTTCCCTCAGGCATCGTGATCCGACCGTCTCGTCATGGGATGTAGTTCCTCCAGCAACAAACAAGAGGATGAATGCGGTCACCAGGTGGACTACTTTCTCTCCCCGGACGAGATCCGGATTGTCCGAGAGTCCTGGGCAGTTGTGGCTCTTGACCTGCCGGCCACGGGACTACACATCTTCACCAGGTATGTCGACTGGTCATGGTCAATTGGTCGCTTTTAAGCACAAGGTGTCTATCCCGAAAAATGCTGTTTTGAGAAAATCGAAGGTAAAGTTTTTGCCCCTTTTTCAGTTTCTTTCTTTTTTAAATTAAAGACAAGGAGAGTTTTCTCCATAACCAAAAAAATAATAATACACATCAATGAAACCAAACTTCTCCTATAGATACGGCTATGCCCACTTTTGGTGGTGGTCAAGATTTCTGTAAACCCCCGAAATCTGGGTTAGCCCGCTTGTCCTTAAAAGCGACCAATTATTGGGTGAAAGTAGATGACCTTGGCCCTGAATTCACATCACTGGGTGGGGTGGGGGGTGGGGTGGGAGGGAGTGATATGCGGATGTGGCTGATCAAGCCGATCTTCGCACGGAAGTACATGTAACTGTTGCGGTGAAGTGAAGAGGATGATGATGAAGTCACGACTTGTGCTTGGAAGTGATTAAAGTGAGGGAGAGTCAAAGTAAAATAGAACCCTCGCGTCGGACGTGTTAGCGCGCTATTTCCTATTCCTGGCCCACAAGCGTTGTTTATTCGGTCAAACGGTTCGAAATGGAGACTTAAATGTTAGTTTTCCCCTCAATATTTTCCTCCTCCATCGTGCCTCTATTGAGACAGCAACAGTTACGGAGAAGGGATGACAACGGTTTGAGTTTCACATGATAAATTAAACACAATCTGCCAGTGATTTTAAATGCTTTATTTCACCATTATGCCTGTATTGAAACGATTTAGAATATATTGGCCTTGAATATCACTAGCTCTCAGTGGCAAAAGCAGGCTTGCAAAGCAGGGGTAGACCCACAGCAACCTGCTGGGAAGGCCCAGACAGATGGGTGACGGGGAAAGATTAGGATAATACAACTTTTTTTTTGAGAGCATCCGAGCAAAAAACTGAATGGAGAACATGTGAGAAGGATGCAGTTTCCAGCGCGCCAAATCCCTTGCTGGTTTAAAAACTTCGTATTCTTTCTCCTCCCCTCAAAACATGTTTTATGATTTACGCCGGTATCCTAACCTCTTCTTCTCCTTCAGTTTCTCTTTCTCTTTCTCCTTCTACGGGAGTTAAGCTTTTCCCGTTTTGCACCTCACCAAGCGTAAATAGCTGTATCGCTACAGGATAGTTAAAAAAACCAAACAAACAAACAAAACAAAACCACCACCCCCCCCCCAAAAAAAGAAAAAAAGTCCAGCAAAATTTCACATTCAAATAAAAAAAATCACAAGTGGAAAACCATTCGTTCCATCACTCTTTCATGTATATTGTTCTTACACAATTTGTAATGAGCAATATAACAGGTAAATGTCAGAAGATGCAAGCGCGCTTTCAGGTGCTTATTTCACCTGGAACTATCTCGAACTTTTTGATCGAGCTTACATGTGACTTGTTTTCACAAACACTTTCGGCATTTTTGTGACCTCTGTTTGCTCTTTAATTTTCGGTATTAATTACGATTTTTTTCAATCTGTTTGTTTGTCAGTCTGTAGGTGATTATGTTTCAGCGTTTCAGTTATTTGTTTGTCTGTTTGTGTGCATCACTCTCCCTCTCTCTCTCGTTCTTTCTTTCTCTCTCTCTCTCCCTCTCTCTCTCTCTCTCTCTCTCTCTCTCTCTCTCTCTCTCTCTCTCTCTC